GGCTGCCGAGTTGAAATACCCGGACAGACGAACACACACAGACAGGGTCGTCCCAATATGCGCTTTGCAATTTGCATATAGGCAAAAACGCATAAAAAACACGCTTATTTTATGAAAAGTAAATTTCACACGTTGTGATAAGGAATAGTTTGATTAAATTAGCTTGAATTTGCATATGCAGCAGTGAAGCTTGCTTATTCTCTCCCAAAAGCTATAAAATGAAGGGAAAATGACTTATTTAGTCACTGTCGTTCTTATTCAATTGGTATTTGGCGTCTATAACCGCCTGCAGATTAAAATTGGGATGGACGATACGATGGGCAGTGCCGATGCAAATCAACCACCTTACTCGGAGGGGCAGGAAGGCCGATGTCCCGATTCGTCCTCAGCGAATACGCTGTCAGAAGAGCATGTGAACCCGGAGGAAGCGGTTGGCAACAACAGGTAGTTCAGCACCAATAGCCCGGAAAAGAGGCTAGAAAACAGACGCTTCCTGCTTCAAGAAACATACGATGAATGGCTGTTTTTATTTTTTAAAGAACGCTGCCAAGAAACTCATGCATGATGCCAGTCAGTGACTCTCATCACGAAAATATTATTAGAAAAAAGTTTTTTAACTGTTCCTCTCAGAATCTGCAAAACTGCCACTAGCAAAGTTTCCCAGAAGTGCTCTAGTTCGAAAAAAATCCTGCCTATACAATTAAATCAGTGCAGTGTACTGCAGTTGCTGCCTATTCAAAACAACTTCTGTTCGGCGCCACTGAAAGCGCGAAAGATTTTCAGATATTTTGAGGATCTTATACAGGAGATGCATGATCTGGATGCCTATCGCTTCAGCAACCCGGGCAAGCTTCAAATTGTCTATGGGATGCTCGTTAATGAGATCAATTCTATCTGGGGTCATATTTATGCTCGTGCAAATCGATGTGAATACACACGGGACATGGAACATGGCCAAGAGGTAATTTACTGGGATTATCCAGTTGGTGGACCACTGGTGTATCTCAATTGATTTTACTGCAGGTGATGGAAGGACGCCGAATAATCATGCACGAAAGGGTACCGATTCCAGACCGCCCGAACTCCAAATACATTGGGCGCATTCTTGGGCCGCGGGGACTGACAGTACGACAGTTGGAAGCGCAAACGGACTGCCGCATATTGATTCGCGGCAAAGGTTCTGTTAAAGTAATGTATTTCCATCAATTCAGAAATTCAATATGGCAGTTTTTGTATCCTTAAAATCTCTAATTTGCAAGTAGCGTAGAAAGAATTGTTTGGGCTTCCTTCGGAGAAGCCATACGCACACGCAAGGTGGATTGCAGTTCAATTCAGTACGATCGGATTTACGCTCAGCTTGCCATTTCATCGCAGTAACATCAAAAATTGCATTTCTTTTTTCCCTGTTCCTGAAATGCAGTCTTATCCCCACTTTCAAGAGAATCTTTCATTTCATGCAGGCCTTGTGAAAAACGCGAATAATCAAATCAAACGTCTTCTAATACTTGTTGCGTCTAAATTAAAACGCTAGTATCACTGATTTTCTAAGGATCCACGTCGAGAAGCATGGCTTCGCAATCGCATTGGATGGGAACACCTCAGCGAGCCGCTCCACGTGTTGATTACGGCCACCGATTTCTCGGAAATGCGCTGTGCGGA